AAGTTAACAGCAAAGCGACCAATGTGTCTTTTAGAATCGGGAAGGTATCCATTAATTACAACAGGGATAAAACAGATTATCAAATACTGGTCTTGAATAAAAAAAAAATGCCTGAAAATTCTCTGGTTTATGTAGCATACAGTCTCGGCTTAGAAATAGACAACTCTGGCACCTACAACTGGGTTTCTGGGTTAAAACTTATACTTAAAGATCTAGATATAGACCATTTGTGGCAGGAAGAAAAAAAGCAAAATGTGAACAATGTAAATATAGATAAAATAATATCAGAAAAGCTAAAAACAAAGTTTGAAAAAATTTTAAACAGATTTTAGACAATGATAACAAAGGGAAAAATCACAAAAATAAATTGTGCACTTACAGAGAACTGAAAACAGACTTTGGCTTTGAAAACTACTTACACCTGGTCAAAAATACTCATCACAGGTCATCAATGACAAAATTGAGGATTAGTGCTCACAGACTACAAATAGAGACTGGGAGATCAAACAACACAGATATATCTGACAGAAAATGTCTATGTTGTGAAAATAACGCCATAGAGGACGAAGAACATTTTCTTTTAACATATGATCTCTACGCGGGAGAAAGAAAAAAACTTTATCAGCTGTTATCACCCCAACACTCAGCAAACAATAAAGAAAAATTAAAATATATTTTAAATAATAAAGATGAGAAAACAATAATACAAATAGCAAAATACATAGAGAACGGTATTAAAACAAGAGAGGAAAAGTTGAAAACATTATAGTCAGCTATCTCAAGATAAGGTCACATACATGCAATAGTAATCTAAACATTCACCAACACAAATGTGGAAAACAATCCAATTTACTTTACCATTATTTTATTTTTATTTTTTTCTACTTTTATTTGCTAGTTGTTTCCTGTGTGTATTTTTATTCTCACTTTAATTGTTTGTTTGTTTTTATTCACATCTGTATTGCATTTTAGTCAAAATCCTAATAGGGATACGAATGCAATAAAGATATTTATTATTATTAACATCTGGGGGAGATTAGGAAATGTCCACGAAGTCACATGATAACGCACAACTTCATGACAAACTGTGGTGTTTCAACAGGAAATTAATGGGAAATGTCAGACCAAAGTTTCATATTTTCGTTACGTTAGTGATTCTCGCGTGCACACAGACATTCGTAAAACAGGATTCCTGATGTGTGTTGTTTCACCATTTGGCAAAATTTGGCAAAACGTGAGCCAACAGCATAGCCGAAACACACGTTCGCTGAGGATTAGGCCGATTGACACCTCTAAAACAATAGCATTGCCAGGCTGTTTATTAGTTGTCTGAGATCTAGTACACTGTCAACTATACTAAGCGCTCTAAGTTATAAGTTTTACTCACTATATAATAACACTACGTGCAATCCCCGCTAGTACGTTAAGTATTTGAACGCAGTACATTTATACTCATAAACACATAACATACCAAAATATTAACCCCTAATTGCGCCTTTTTTTTTTTTCAAGTGTGCGTACCTGACTTTAAGTCAAGTGCCTCCCAGGGCTTGTGAGGGGTGTGTTATATTTCACCCAGTTCAGTTCATTTATTGATGTTATTTACAATAATTTTAAAAATTTTTAAAGAATATACAGGAAACACAAAATGGTGGTTGAAACTGTTCGATCAATCAGAAAAATTGTGAATTTGAACTTGTATGGATTATTGTAATCTCTAATGCATCATCAGGAATCAGTTTTTGTTGTAATGATGGGACAGAACGCAACATACTAAGAATTTACAAGTTGAAAATTTTTTAAATGACACTAGAGTTACATTACTTGGGGTTTGCAATGTGCATAGTTCTGTATGGTGACATCATGTCAAGATCCCATTCTAGTCTCATCTTGTAGATAGCGAAACTGGTGCTAAGACCTTCTGACATGACAATAGGCGGTTTGTAATAAAACATGTATTACCACATTCATAGTGAAAAAATGTAATACATCGAAAATGTACAGAAAATATAGTTATCATAGTCTGTCATATTGTCAGCAGCTATTTTGATCCACCTGGACATCCCAGTATTTTAGTTACCTCGGCATGCGCATTCACATTTTTCTGAGTTGGAACGCTTATTCGAGAGCGAGATTGAAACGGGATCTTAGTATCATGTAACCGTAGTTGCAAACCCCAAGTAATGTATCTCTGATGACACTAAAAACTTCAAAGTAAGTGATTGCTATCAAAATTTCTCTTGAAGAGAAGGAGAACATTTAATCAAAGCTGAAAACAGATTATGCAGAAAATGGGGAAACTTGAAGGTTGGAGGTTGAAGACGAAATACATTTTGTTTTAAACTGTCTGTACTGCAAAAACTATTATAGGCATGTGAAATAAATGTACCGGAAAAGTAAAATTCTAAACTTCAACGTTGTGTTTTCAAAAAATCAATTCAATTTACAAATTATTACATAGTTCCGGCATGCTTATAGATATTAATACAGAAA